TTTAGGGGACCTTTTAGCTTAGCGGTCGTCTAACTATGTGATTGTTTAGGGGATGTTGGTGAAATTGGGCATGAGACAATTTGTAAAGATGCTAGTGTGCGTGAAAAATTATTGTATATGCCGGCAGCTTAACTATTACCCGATTAACGGGAAAATTTATTTTATGCAATGGCTTAGTAGTTAAGTTCATAGTTATGAATGTATTCCAGAAATACTTATAAATGAATAGTTTATTAATAACGAATGTATCAATATATTTGTGTATATTATGTATAGGTTTTTCTTATGAATAAATGACATATAAATGATAAGGCCTCATTTTTCTCTCTTCCCCTCTCGGACCTCAGATAATCCTATAATATTGCAGCGCAACTTATCTATCTCTTCTTCCAGCTCCAGGATCTCCTCGTCGGTCTTCAGGGTACGTGCGTTATATGTAGCCAGGTGGAGTCGTCTTAGTTGGCAACCAAAGCTCCACCGGAGATCCTTAGCACCCCCTGCCCCGCCGTTGCCATGGTTGCCACCGTAACCAGCATATTTACCGTGCCGGCTACCCGCGATCCACAGCTGTCACACGGTTTTTATTCTGAATTGCCGCTCGAGTAGTATACAAGTCTTTCACTTATATAGAATTTAACAAAAAGTTCAAACAATCGTGAAGATACATTTCACTTTACAACAACACCTAACTAAACAAAGCCTCTGCAAGAAAACTGCCTTACAGTACTTAAACATTTCCTTCATTAGCGTAAGATAATCTATAAGATCAAAGTAAACCTGAAATAAAAAAAATGGCAGTGAAGTAAGTCTCTTTCACTTTAATTTATAGTTAGCTGCCACGGCAGGAGTTTAATGTTTCAGTTTCACTCCGAATTCAGTCTGGACATTTTACAGTGTAAATATAAAATGTATTAATAACTCGACTACAAAAGCCATCTTGTACAGAATAATAGATCAGAGTAGAAAAACCTTTACGTGCCTTGTATTGTGCTAATTGAAACTGCATTTATTCTGAAGAAGCTGATTCAAAAACCAAAAAAATTGAACTTTAAAATATGAAACAAATGGGAAGTTAGTGGAAACAGACCAGACCATGTTTTTTTTTTTATTTAATTGATTGTTAATGTTTATCCTTTTTTTCGTTACGACGCTTATTTTGTTATTGTTAGCGCCTATTAAAGTCGACTGCTGAACATAGGCCTCCCGCATATATTGCCTCATAGGGGGATATTTGCCATAGTTGCCACGCTTGGCACGCGGGTTGGCAACACAATTTTTTTTTATTTTAATAGGAATACGCTGTGCACGTCTTCTGATTTGTTTCTTTCTGTCGCCTCTACGACACACACGGGATGATAAGGGGTAATGGATATTCTTATATCTATCATCATCATCATCATTACAGCCCTTCACAAGTCCACTGCTAAACATAGGCCTCCCCCAAGGAATGCCACAAAGCACGGTCCTGACCCACCTGCATCCATCGACTTCCTGCATGTCTTACCAGGTCGTCACTCCATCTAGTGGGGGGACGCCCTACACTTCGTCCGCCGGAACGAAGCTGCCACTCGAGAACCTTTTTTCCCCACGGGCTGACGGTTCTTCGAGCCATATGGCCGGCCCATTGCCACTTCAGCTTACTAATCCGTTGGGCTGTGTCGGTCACTCTGGTTCTATTGCGGATATCCTCATTTCTGAGTTTATCACGCAGAGAAACTCCGAGCATAGCCCTCTCCATAGCTCGCTGAGTGACTTTGAGCTTCCTCATCCGGCCAGTAGTGAAGGACCACGTCTCAGTACCATAGGTCATCACGGGCAACACGCACTGATTGTACAGTCTCGTTTTCAAGTTTTGCGGTATACCTGACGAGAAGTGTGCCGTAATTTGCCGAACGCTGCCCAACCGAGTTGAATCCGTCGATTGACCTCTCGGTCGAAGTTGGACTTACGTAGTCGGACTATTTGTCCCAGGTAAACATACTCGTCAACAACTTCGAGCTTAGTGCTCCCAACAACTACCGGCATAGGTGTGACAATGGACATTAAACATGATCTTTGTTTTGTCCATGTTCATCTTAAGACCTATCCGTTGGGAAACACTATTGAAGTCATTGAGCATAGTGCTTAGGTCCTCCAGCGATTCTGCCATAAGGACTATATCGTCGGCAAATCGAAGGTGAGTGATGTACTCGCCATTGATGTTAATACCGTATCCTTTCCAGTCCAGAAGCTTGAAAACGTCTTCCAATGCAGCGGAGTTTCGGGGATATAACGTCACCCTGTCTTGCAATTGGATAGGTTTCGTACTCTGGATCTGTACTCTGATAGGCATCGTAGCCCTACTGTACAAACACTTCAGCACTTCGATATACCGACAGTCAACTTGACATCGCTGAAGGGACTGCAGCACCGCCCAAATTTCTACGGAATCAAAGGCGTTCTCATAGTCCACATACGCCAGACATAGTGGCAAATTATATTCCTCGGACTTCTGTACAATTTGCCGAAGGGCATGTATGTGGTCTATGGTGTTAAAGCCTTGTCGGAAACCGGCTTGTTCGAGAGGCTGGAAGTCGTCAAGTCTGCGAGCGAGACGATTCGTAATGACTCTCGAAAACAGCACGTAGACGCGGCTCAGAAGGGAAATCGGTCTGTAGTTCTTCAAGAGAACGTTGTCACCTTTTTTGAAGAACAAAGCCAACCGCACTTCTGCTCCACGCCTCCGGTGTAATGCCACCATGGAGGACAGAATTAAAGAGCTTCTGAAGGACTTAAGTACCGGTTTTCCACCCGCTTTTTTTATAGGGTAAAGGTGACAAACGAGCACGCAGTCCACCTGATGGTAAGTGGTTGCTGTGGCCCATAGACATCTACATCTATCTTCGATTAAAAATCAAAATGCAGATGCGTTGACACCCGTGAGGACTAAGATGTAATGACTCGTTTCCAGTAAAAAGGGTCTCCGGTTCTCTACACTCACCATATGAAACACAGCAGCGTTAAGCTGCTATTTTACGCTGGTATTCTGTGAGAGCGTGGTCCTTCCCCGGTCGAGCCGACCCATTCGTGCTACAACTATACTACTAATATAGCTGCAGCATGGCTCTACCACGTATAAAAGCGCTTTCAGAAGCTCCGCTGTAATTCCACCTTCGCCTGGAGCCTTGCCGTTTTTAAGATGCTGGAGAGCTATTCTAATCTCGCTCAGACTGACGTCCGGGATATCATCGGAATAGTGTCGGATAAGACTCGCTCTTGGATCGTTACTCACACTTGCGTGTGGCTCCAACGATGATGTGTACAGCTGCCCATAGAACCTCTCAATCTCACCCAAAATCTCAAGTGCCCCGGAAACGATGCTGCCACATTCTGTCTTCAGTTATGACAGTTGGCTCTTTCTGGCAGACCCCGCCGCATGCATTTGGAGATCTGTCTGTTTAGTTGCCTGTATGCTGTCAAATCTGTTGAAGAATGTAGCTTCATATCCCGTCTAACAGCCATGAGATTAAGAGTGTGATCGGAGAGTTTTTGTGTTCTTCTGCGGCGGGTCTCGCAAAACTTAGCTCCGACCGCATGGACAGTTTCCACGAGCTTGTCATTCATATCGTCCACTTCATTGCAGTCTTCTAGGCACTGAAAACGGTTTTGTAACTCGAGCTGAAAGGTTTCGGGACTTTGGAATAGATCACGAGGGGGACAGAGCGTTGACTTCATTAGACGAGACCTCTCCAACTTAACGTTTAGGATCAGCCTGCCTCTCACCATTCTGTGATCGCTGCCGGTTTTCACCCTCAAGATCACTGAGACATCACTGAACAGTTGTCGTCTGGTCTTCATAATAAAGTCAATCTCATTTTTGTCGAACCGTTGGGGCTCGACCAGGTCCACTTCCTGTCGGGCCGCTTCTGGAAGAAAGAGTTCATCATAAAGTGTCCCTCTTTCTCCATGAAGTCGGCCAGCTGCTGGCCCCTTGGGTTCCGTTGCCCTAATCCGAAATTCCCTACCTTCAGCTCACCGTTCTCTTTTGTGCCTAGTTTTGCGTTGAAGTCTCCCATTAACACCGTATAGTGGGTTTTGGAGGAATGCATGGCTCTAGAGATATCCTCATACACTTCCTCCACCTCCTCATCGGGGTGTGCCGAGGTTGGTGCGTAAACCTGTATGACCTTCAGCGAATACCGTTTGGTGATTCTGAGTATAAGGTACGCAACCCTCGTCGACACACTCCCGATCTTTACAACGTTGTTAACGAGAGACTTGTGGACGATAAATCCGACACCTCCTTGGGACGGATGGTCGCCCTCCCGGTGATAGAACAAATTGCCGGATTCGGGGATTACCGTGTCCTCCCCCTCTCTTCGGACTTCGGATAATCCTATGATATTCCAGCGCAATTTGTCTATCTCTTCTTCCAGCTCCAGGATCTTCTCGTCAGTCTTCAGGGTGCGTGCGTTACAATATTATATCTATATCTATATATTATATCTAGGCGGCGAAGGAAATAAACCAGATGGGCAGCAGCGTCTTCCTAATAACAAATAAAAATAAAAAACCGCGGTTGCCAACCCAACATGCATGGCAACTATGGCAAATATCCCCCCATGAGTCAATCCGTGGGGGAGGCCTATGTTCAGCAGCGGACTTTTATAGGCTGTAACGATAACGATAAATGTAGAAACGAATAAATAAAAACAAACTAGTATGATTTAAATAAAATAAAAAAAAAACATGAAGTCTGGTCTGTTTCCACTAACCACTCGGTACATATTTCAAGGTTCAATTTCACTTGGTTGCTTCTTTGGTTTTTGAATTAGCTTCTTCAGAATAAATGCAGTTTCAATTAGCACATATGACACGGAAAGATTTTTCTACTCGTTCTACAGTTACATAAGGAACTCATGACAAATGGATTTTTATCTAGTATACTTTTATATTTATATAAAACACGTTTACATAATATTGCACATATTTTACCAGATCTCTCACAAAAAAGGTTCTGCTCATGTGTGTGTTTTCATATGCCTTTGCAAACTACTTTTTTGTATACATTTATATTCACAGATATGACACGAAAAAGGTTTTTCTCCAGTATGTATTTTCATATGTGTTTGCAAATTACTTTTTCGAATAAATTGATATTTACAGATATGACACGAAAAAGGCTTTTCTCCAGTATGTATTTTCATATGCCTTTGCAAACTACTTTTCTCTATACATTTATATTCACAGATATGACACGAAAAAGGTTTTTCTCCAGTATGTATTTTCATATGCCTTTGCAAACTACTTTTCTCTATACATTTATATTCACAGATATTACATGAAAAAGGTTTTTCTCCAGTATGTATTTTCATATGTGATTGCAATTGACTTTTTCGAATGCATTGATATTTACAGATCTGACAAGAAAAAGGTTTTTCTCCGGTATGTATTTTCATATGCCTTTGCAAACTACTTTTCTCTATACATTTATATTCACAGATATGACACGAAAAAGGTTTTTCTCCAGTATGTATTTTCATATGCCTTTGCAAATCACTTTTTTGAATGCATTGATATTTACAGATATGACACGAAACAGGTTTTTCTCCAGTATGTATTTTCATATGTCTCTGCAAACGATCTTTTTTAATACTTTTATAATCACAATTATTACAACAGCACACTTGTTCAGCGACGTGCGCTTTAAGATGTGCCAAAATGCGACCTTTTTGAGTTGTTTTAAATTCGCAAATATCACAATTAAATATTTCCGTTAGTTGTGGTACTGGAGTTTGTTCAACTTGTGTCCGAACTGCAGTGGTGTTCTTTTGGTTCTTTTGCGTCATATGACTGTATGAAATGTGTTTGGCGAGAATGTCTTTTGTTGAAAATTTTTTGCTACAACCATCACATTCAAATATGTATTTTGTTGATGCCCCTGACGTTTTTTTCGTAAGTATATTTACACTCTTTTGTTTCAATATTTTCTTTTTCATAATCTTTGCAGGTCGCTTTCCTTTTTTATTAAATGGTTGATTATCTTTTTTGACTTTAGGCTTTGATTTAATAGTAGGGCTTTCTAAATCGAGGTTTGCTTTACGAACATCGTTTATGTTACAATCAGTAGAATTTGATTTAATCTTGCTCTCAGACGCTTTTGAAAAATGATTTGTCGGTATGATGTATGGTTCTGAAATACACACGAATTGAACATTTAATTTATTATAAGTATAACTTTTTTTTGTAAGACACCTTAAACGCATTGTCTATCAGTCAACCAGGAAGAAATAGATAAATTATAAAATTACATAATTATACAATGTTGCTAGATATAAAGTATTTTACTTTTAATAATGTCTCTCATATTCATTTTTGGAGGGAAAGAATGGTAGAGAAACTAAATTCGAATGATAATGATGACGTTCTTCTCACCATGTTACAATTACCTACATTAATCTAATAATAGATGCTTCGAATCGCACACGGGACAAGCATTATACAGAATGATTGGAAGATTGACTTGTTGATTGAAGAAGATCATTTAGGCCATAATTATTTTAGACAGTCTGACTATACGTTTTGCTTTTGGTGATAAAACTAAAATTTTTACAGTTAATTGCTAATAATTGCCAATTTAATTAACGTCCGTTTTTTTTAATTTAAGTAATGAATAAGAAATCTAAGAAAACATAGTCTCAGCATGTGTCATCAGACATATTTTTGTACAGACACTAAGTTCAAGAAAATTTTCTACGATTTAAAGAAACATAATTAACATTTTAAATAATAAACATTTTTGACACTACGTTAACTTACACACATTTGTTACAAATTTTTCAATTGTCCCCTAAAACCAGATTGAGGAAGAAAACTTAAATTTTTAGGCAGACTAATAAAAATTCTAATTATTTATTGTTGATGCTCAAAATAATTGTTGCGATTACTAACACAAGCACGGGCCCGTCATCTCACTTCTGTTGTAGTTACTTTCAACATCATGGTTTCAAATGCTGAATTAATTCTTTGAAATTTGAAATTCGGGCCATATAGCTTGAAGAAATGACAATGAATGAGGAAGTTTTACGAGTGGCATCCTCGTACCAGTAGACTAAGTGTAGGGCGGCCCTCCATTAGATGTAATGATGACCTGGTAAGAAATGCAGGAAGGCGATGGATTCCTGTGCTTTGTGGCATTCTGTGGGTAAGACCTATGTTCAGCAGTGGACTTGTGAAGGCTGTAATGATGAAGATCTAATGATGCAATGCGCTCATCTTTTAATTTTAATTTTTATAGGATAGGGTGACAAACGAGCACACAGTCCACACGATGGTAAATGGTCGCTGTGTCCCAGACATCTACATCTGTTCTCAATAAAGAATCAAAATGCAGATGCATTGTCACCCATGAAGACTACGATGGAATCCCTCTTTTTCAGTAAAAGTGGTATCCAGTTCTCTACAATCACCATACGAAACACAGCAGTGTTAAGCTGCTATTTTACACTGGTATTCTGTGAGAGCATGGTCCTTCCCCGGTCGAGCCGACCCATTCGTGCTATAACTATACTACTAATATAGCTGCAGCATGGCTCTACAACAACTAAAATGGAATGACCCACAGCCTGTGATTATTCTGACTCTATACCCATCAGAATGGAACACAGCAGTGCATGCACTGCTATTTGACGGCAGAAATAGGTAAGAGGAGGAGGGAGGAGTCCATCTGGGCAGGCACAAATAGATCAACTCCTAGGCAAACATGGAGTCACACCACCTAGTACTGACGCTAAGAAGATGGCAAAGATAATTGTTTTTTTTTTTTTTTTTTTTATAGGAGAGGGGGCAAACGAGCATGCGGCTCACCTGATGGTAAGTGACTACCGCCGCCCATGAACAACCGCAACACCAGGGGAATTGCAGAGATTGCTTACCAGTATGTATCTTAGTGACATACATACTAGCTGACAGGGTAAAAATATTTCTTAATGTATTAATAAGAGTGCTTTTGACATGCACTTTGAATTTAGACAAAGGAAAATCAGTAAATCAGTACATTACACATGAAGCGTCTTTATTTTGTGTCTACGGGCTACAGTAACCACTTGCCATAAGGTAAATTGTACCTTATTTTAATAATATCAAGAAAAGACGTATATCTTACCTGTTTCATGATTCTCATTTTCTTCAAATTTCGAATTCTCATATTCGAAAATCTCTTCCTCAACTTTAACGGCATCAAGGCAAAAAATTTCGTCCTTGCAATCATTGTCTATATCACACTCTACAGGCCAGATGTCTATATGATAAATTGGTGTGAATTTAATCTCACCTCTAACCTTATGCGGTTTTGGTATTGACTGAAAGGAAATAATTTTTTCAAATGAGACAAAAAGCCACTATAGTGGTGGAGTAGGAGAACCCATACTACCCCCTGCCATCCCGCATATGTCGTAAAAAGGGGCAGAGGGAAACTGAAACAGGAGATCGGGGGGCAGCATCTTCCTGACAACAACTTCAAATAATAATAAACACCGGACAAAAGTGAGGGTTCAGCGTAAACTTAAATAAGAATGTACATAGTTCATCTATCTCGAGAATCGTGTCTCAACAACTTTTGGATTCAGATTCACGAAAGCTGTAAATTGACAAAGATTTATCTTTGTTTATTGAGATTTGTTTATATACAATAGGGTAATATATAACAGTATAAACAGTTTGATAATTGTTTTTGTTAAAATAAGTACTATTGCTCTAACAAAAGTAAGTTGGATTGAAGGACAAACTTAACTTTGAACACTAGAAACATTCTCCCATATAGCAATGGGAAGCAGCATAGAAAAGTGGATTATGCAGTGACGGTGTAAGAATATCCACTATCACAGGGTTGGCTACCTCTATATGGTATTATTAGATTTTTTTATAAAATAAATAATATTTGCGTATGAAACTAGAGCCGCAGCTTCACATCCAAAGAGCCGTATGTGGCTAGCGAGCCGCAGGTTGCCGACTCCTGCACTATCCTATATACCTATCCACGGGATGGGTGTCGTAAGAGGCAACAGAAGGAAACAGAAACAGAGGTAGGGCGGCCGCATCTTCCTGATGACAACTTAGACTAATATAAACTACGGTTGCCAACTTGCCAAGTGTGGCAAATTTGGCAAAATCCCTCCTATGAAGCAATCTATGAGTGAGACCTATGTTCAGCAGTGGACTTTTATAGGTTTTAATGGATGGAATGGATAATACCATGGATCCTCCTGAAAGCAACTGCTCCAGAACCACATTTGACTCAATAGCTTGTTGTTGTAATCTTCTGCAACGAATGAGTCTTGCATGACAGGTGAAACAGACAATTATTGGCCCCTCAATCTCATCCAACTGTAAATATGAAAATCTTCATAAATATGAAATAGTATTCAAATACATAAGTGTATATAAGTTTGTAATAGAGATTATTGGCTACCACATTTTAGTTTGTCAACATCATTTTTTATAATATTGAAAGTGACTAATGGGCATCATGGGCACCTGCAACAAACTTCAAGCAATGGCTATAGATGCAATGTTACCTCTGAAGACTAAGATGTAATGCATCACAGCCTGGGTCTCGATGTCCTTCAGACTGGGACACATACTGCTGCTTGGTGCCAGAAAATGGTAAGAGGATGATATCTAGGCAGAAAGAAACTCCTACAGTTCCAAGCCACCTACATCCATCAACTACATTACCTACATTAACTTCAAACTGCTATCATCACTAAGAACATTACAAATACTTCTCTTATCACTCTGCTTGTGGTAGGAGGATATTGAAACAAAACACAGGGTGGTGGGTGGTACTACACATTCTGTGAAAGTGTAGTACCACCCCGGTCGAGCTGACCCATCCATGATACAACCATAATATAGCTGCAGTCCGGCTCTACCATATATAAAATAATGATAATAATTCTTTCTACTCTATTCTCTCATTTTAATAGTCCGATAGAACTGTTTTAATTTGCTGAACAACCAAACCAGGGTAAATGTTAACTTGTTGATAAAAAATCACAATTATAGTCATTCAAGTAATATGTACTAGAACAGACACCAGGAACAAAATCTATGCAGCAGTGCGGGTTGCATGGAAGGAATGGAAGGAGAATGTAGTATAATTAAGACCCAGATATTTGACACTTCACTAATCTACATGCTCAGCTTTGGAAAAATCTAATAGACTGTAGACAAGCTAGGGAGGCCCTGCCTGAAATAAACAGTTGTTTAACCAAAGTTCTAATGAGACTGAACAAGCCGCAGACCAGGATATAACAAGTGCTATCACATGCCATGGCAACTTTAACAAGCATTTATTTACTATAGGTGTTACAGATAATCCCCTGTGCAGGGCATGTCTGGGGGAAGAAGAAATGGCGGCCCATATGATATTGAAATGTCCGTAGGTCGCTACTTACAGGGCTAAACATCTCGGCACGCCGAGATCACTGCCTGAAGTTGCATGCAACATCAAAGGACTGTTGAGCTTCTTCGGGGAGATCTCATGGCTCGAATAAGCATATTATTCCTGCCTTTATAACTTCTGGTGCTATTCTGCCGATCAGTTGTTTCAACACTCGAAAAGTGTATGACAAAGAAACATAAAAAACTCTAGTCAACAAGTATCTTAATGCAATTGCAAGTCTGATACTGATATGAGGGCAACAGCATTCCATAGTATAGTATCCTGTTTGGTTATGGAAGGTCCAATCATTTGTTATAACGTTTCAAAATCAGATGTTGACATTCGAGTAAAATTCACAAAAGATCCGTCAGACATTCGGAGATCACTTAAAATATCTATTCCTCTTCCTTCTCATTGTAGTAAGGAATTCTGAATCCACCACCTTTTCTTTCGCTTACGTTTCACTCCCGCAATAAGCACTACGTACACAGCACTAA